TTTGACTCGACGGCACATAACAACAACAACATATGTAACTAGAGCTCCTAAATAATGCTTAGGACAGTTTAAGCATCCAGAGGAGAAGGAAGAGAATGCTCAGATTTTTAAACATGATATTGATGCTTAGATTCTGTTTTTGTTTTTAAGTCCACATGCATATAGTATTTGTTGAAAACATAAACACATTAATGGGTGGAAAAAGGTTAAAGATGCTAAGGCTCCAGATCTAATTTTAATAAAACCAAACACACTGCCATTGGGTTTCCATAGTATCACCATGGAAGTAGATTGCCCCATCTTCCTTTTGAGGAGTGGCTGGTGGGTCTGAACCGCCAACCAGCCTTTTGGCTAGCAGTCAAATGCTTTAGGCACTACGCCACCAGAGCTCCTCTCCTTTTATCCAGAGTTTGCTTAAACATCAACCTCAACATCTGGAACACGCCAGGAAGCCAGCAAAAATGGCTTCTGAGCAGCCAAAATGAACACCATAAAGTTCATCTTTTCAAGCATACAGTTATGCCCCAGTGATTACTCTGAATCGACTCACAGTTCTTTCAAGCTTGGGTATTTAGCTAGAACATTAGAAGCAGAATTGTTTTGATGGTATCCACAGTGAGGGAAGAAAGAAATATCTATAAACAGCAGACACAGGAACGTAAAGGTTGGAGTTACATAGTTCTAGGACAAAGAGACCACATTGCAATAACCCCACCGACTCACCCTACATGCTGCTGCTGCTCCTGAGTCATCATGGAAAAGTTAAAGTTAGTCAATTACATTTAGATTGCCTGGGAACTAATCATTTATTTTAGATACCCCACTAATGAAAATGGATAACGACAGCTGAATAAAATTATTCAATGATATATAGCCAATTTTTATCATTATTTACTTTCTAGCAAAAACCTCTTTTCTTGATCAAATCAAAGCTCTGCCCTTACTTAAATTGGCTTTGATACTTCATAGTAATAGTAACTAACATTTATTGATGACTTACCGTGTACTAGAAACTATTCTGAAAGCTTAAATCATACTCATGCTTAGAGGGGATTAGCTTCAATTATCTGAAAAAAATTCAATTACATGAAACATTTAAATCCTCAGAGACACTGGATAAGGCATCATGATGTTATTAGAGTTTTCTAGTATTCAGTCAAGGCTTGTACTTACCTATAGGGACAAAGGGGGATTCTCTAGATTTCCTCATGAGTCGGGACAATTGGCTTTCATCCTCATCCGCTGACCACTGGTTATCTGAAGACATTTTCTCTCTAGTAACAGTTAAGGATAAATGTAGTGGCTGTGAATCATTAAAAGTAATCTATTTGTGGGAGAGAAAGGAAAGGTAAATCACTGAAAAAAAGAAATAAGTAAATAACCCATTTACACTCTCCTAATTTATCCTTCTCTGTCTTTGTTTGACATGCCTGTCTGCTCAATTGAAATAATCTTCAGACTTTTCATTACAGAGTCTTGTCATTTTGTTGGTGTGTGGGTGTGGGGGGAGAAGGTGTAAGAGAAACATAAATAAAGAGAAAGAATGCCCATCCGATTCCATGAATACAGAGTAGAAATTAACACAATTCACAATTCTGTTATGCCGTCTCCTTTCACTTAGACACACTGCTCAGCATTTGAGATCATTGGCAACCTCAAGACTTCTTCCACAAACCTTGAGAACTCAGAGATTCTTTTGCAAAAATCTCATTTTTAAAGAGTTGTATCAGTGCCAACATGGACAAAAGTAATTCCAGACTTACAGGTGCTGGGAGAACCATCACTCCAGTTCTGCAGAACATGCAGGGCATTATAAAGGCACTCAGGTACTTAGGAGCACCTGCCAGGTGCTATGTGAGGGCATGGAAACAGCCCTCCCTGTCTACATGGGCTGCGAGCACTCTCAGGAGGATCTGTAACCACAACGGACGCAGCGGAGCAGCACCTAAGTACTGTTATCAGTACAATCCACCGTTTTCAACACAAACTTCAAATACAATGACTTGATCCTATGAATAAGGTTTCATGAGAAAATGCAGCTCTCCCGTAAGCGGCAGAAGCACAGTAACACTACCTTTGCCGAGTCCCACTAGTGCCGTCTGTCTCCTGCTGCCTCGGGCTCAGGCTGTGGGTCAGAACGGCTTTATAAGGCAGGGCCACATCTACAAGCAATTCCCAACTAATTGGTAATTGGAAAGCCCAGAAACACACATGGAAGAGAGGGGGAGGAGACTGGTCTTGGCCGAGGTTTCCTCCATACCTACTTGGAAACTCACTGGTGCCACAAACAAACTTAAGGCTTTCCAAGAAAATTAATTTACTTGATTCACCCCGTCACTGGGGAGCTCCCAACTTGCCCAACTTCAAGGGCGGAGGACCAGGTACCCAGGGAAAGCGGGTACAGGAGTACAACAGTAGGATGAGGGGAAAGGGTTTAGCCATCTGAGGCATTTGCCAGAGGAGCCCTCACAGCGGCAGAGGTCCTGGGCAGAGCCTCCGGGACACCGCCCAGGGTCATCTGGCGACTGGGGACCCTCGCACCCAAGACTCCTGCATAACAGCAAGCCTCGCGCACGCCCTGCGGGGCATGACATGATGTCACGGCGCCCGTGGCCAAGCCACCGGCCTAGGGCCTCCGCGGGAAGGAGCCGAGAGTGCCCGCTCACTTGCCCCTGCGCACATAACCTGAAGGGTTGTGGCTCTAGAGATAGGTGTGCAGCAGAAAGGCAGGGGCCACTAGGAGGCGCTGGCTTCTGCCCACCGGCCTCTGCTTGAAGTTTCAGACAAAGCCTTGCTCACCGCTTCCCTCTGCAGCCACATGGACCTGGGGGGGGTGGGGAGCAGTAGGTAGGGCAGCTTTCACATGTTCCCCCCCCCCTTTTATAATTGAAATTTAAAATAATTTCAGGCAGAAAAGTTCCAAGAATAGTACAAAGTATTATATGCCCAGAGTCATTTAGCCACAATTTGCTTTATCATTTGTCTCTAGATTTGATCCCCCATCCCCACCCCGAATCATCTGAGAGTGATGATTCACTCATCACACAGGTCAGTGTGACTTCACCCTCATATACTTTTGTATTTAGGGCAGTCTCTTACATATCCTGTAGTATAATAATCCAAATCAGGAAATTAACGTTGATACAATACTGTTATCCAATCAAAAGACTTTATTCATAGTTCACCAGTAGTCTTAATAATGTGCTTAAATTGCATTTTCTTTTTTCCAGGTCCAGGATCCAATGAGGAATACGTATTATATTTACTTGTCACATCTCTTTGTTTTGTTGTTGTTAGGTGCTGTGGAGTCAGCTCTGATTCACAGTGACCTATGAACAGAAGGAAACACAGCCTGGTCCTGCGCCATCCTCACAATCCTTGCTATACTTGAACCCATCATTGCAGTCACTGTGTCAATCCATTTTTTTGAGAGTCTTCCTGTTTTTCACTGACCCTCCACTTCAGCAAGCATGATATCCTCCTCCAGGGACTGGTCCCTCCTGATAACATGACAAAAGTACAAGAGACAAAGTCTCACCATCCTTGCTTCTAAAGAGCATTCCGGCTATACTTCTTCCAAGACAGATTTGTTCATTCTTCTGCCAGTCTATGGTACATTCAGTATTCTTCACCAACACCATAATATCAGTTCTTCTTCAGTCTTCTTTATTCATTGGCCAGCTTTCACATGCATATGAGGCAATTGAAAAAACCATGGCTTGGGTCAGGGGCACCTTAGTCTTCAAAGTGACATCTTTGCTCTTTAACACTTTAAAGAGGTCTTTTGCAGCAGATTTGCCCAGTGCAATACATCCTTTGATTTCTTGACTGCTGCTTCCATGTGTGTTGATTGTTGGTCCAAGTGAAATGAAATCCTTGACAACTTCAATCTTTTCTCCATTTAACATAATGTTTATTGGTCCAGTTATGAGGATTTGTGTTTTCTTTATGTTGAGGTGTAATTCATACTAAAGACTGTAGTCTTTGATCTTCATCAGTAAGTGCTCCAAGTCCTCTTCACTTTCAGCAAGCAGGTTGTGTCATCTGCATATTGCAGGTTATTAATAAGTCTTCCTCCAATCCTGATGCTGAGTTCTTCATCACGTAGTCCAGCTTCTTAAATTATTTGCTTAGCACACAGATTGAATAAGTATGGTGAAAGGATACAACCCTGACACAGCTTTCCTGACTTTAAACCATGCAGTATCCCTTTGTTCTGCTTGAAGGGTTGCCTCTTGGTCTATGTACAGATTGCTCATAGTACAATGAAGTGTTTTGGAATTCTCATTCTTTGCAGTGTTATGTATAATTTGTTGTGACCTACACAGTCGAATGCCTTTGCATAGCCAATAAAACACATGCAAACATCTTTCTGGTATTCTCTGCTTTCAGCCAAGATCCATCTGACATCAGAAATGATATTGTTCATTTCATGCCCTCTTCTGAATCTGGCTTGAATTTCTGGTAGTTCCCTGTCTATGTACCACTGCAACCATTTTTGAAGTATCTTCAGCAAAATTTTACTTGTGTGTGATATTAATGATATTGTTCTTATGTACCATCAAGTCACCTCCTACTCACAGTGACCCTGTGTACAACACAATGAAACGCTGCCCAGTCCTGTGCCAGCCTCACAATCCTTGCTGTGCTTGAGCCTATCGTTGCAGCCACTGTGTCGATCCATCTTGTTGAGGGCCTTCCCCTTTTTCACTGACCCTCCACTTTACCAAGCATGATATCCTTCTCCAGGGAATTGTCCCATCTGACACCATGACCAAAATTAGTGAGACATTAATGATATTGTTTGATAATTTCCATATTCTGTTGGCTCACCTTTCTTTGGAATGGGCACAAATATGGATCTCTTCCAGTCAGTTGGCCAGGTCACTGTCTTCCAAATTTCTTGGCATAAATGAGTGAGAACTTTCAGCACTGCATTTGTTTGTTGAAAGGTCTCAATTGATATTCCATCAATTCCTGGAGCTTTGTTTTTTGCCAGTGCCTGAAGTGCAGCTTGGCCTTCTTCTTGCAATATCATCGGTTCTTAATCATACGCTACTTCCCAAAATGGTGGAATGTCAACCAATTGTTTTTGGTACAGTGACTATGTATTCCTTCCATCTTCTTTTGATGCTTTCTGCATCATTCAGAATTTTACCCATGTCTTTTTTTTTTTAAATACATTTTATCAAAATACAATCTATGTCCAGTGAAATACACAAAATTAAATTACTCATGTCTCTAGTCTCCTTTAATCTAGAACAGTTACTTTGTCTTTGTGTTTCACCGCTTGATATTTTGACAGTGCAGGCCAGTTGTTTTGTAGAATGGCTCTTAATTTAGCCTTGTCTGATGTTTTCTCATCATAATATTGAGGTTATGCATTTTTTACAGAATACCATATAAGTGATGTTGTGTCCTTTTTGGTGTGTATTACTCAGTGTCGGTAACTTTGGTCCATTGTTATGCTGATAAACATTTAACAGTTGGTTCTTTAGAAGAAGAAAAAAGCAGCAGCCTTGATGTGTAGCATTTGCCAAATTCCATGGTGTAAATACTACCAATGTGGCCAGTTTCAAGCTGCTGTCCTGACATAACGGAACATGGAATTGGGAAGAGATGTGCACAGTTACTGATCGTGAGTTGGCATGACTCAGCTCTAGAACACCACTGCTTTGGACACTTGGGTTAAAGTGGTCTCTGTCAGGTTCTCCACAGTAAAGTTACAACAACAAGAGATTCGGCAGTGAAGGGAGGAAGAGAAGGCAGCAGTTAGAAGGGAAAGTAAAGTTGTTCTGTTCTGTTTTCACTACAGCAAGGTGTAGGAGTTTTAGGATGTTTAAACACATGGGAAAGAATTACTGGAGAGGGAAATAGTGAAGATGCAAAAGAAGTGTGACCTGGTAGAAAGAAGACCGGGAAGAGATGGATCAAGAGCCCAGGCTAATCTTGCAGAGCTTGGAAGGAGACCTCATGTTTTGCAGGAGAGGAGACCTGTGAGGTTCTTAAATTTCCAGTCCCACTAAATAGCTCTTTCCCCCCTCCCCTGATGAAACAAACAATGAAGGACGGAGGTGCATGGAAATAAGATAGGATGACTTGAGTGTGCTAAAGGTTTGGGCTTTGTGGCAGCTGAGGATGAATTAAAAGATTTCTGAGCAGCCCTGAAGGTCTCATACTTTCTCCAGAGCTCTGAGAAACATGATAGCAGAAACAGAGGAAGCAAATAGTTGAGATCATTTGTACATTTAACAAAGATTGATTGAG